TCCTACACAAATTGGGAAATGCATAACTGACTCCACCATTATTCTGTGGAACGAAACAGATGCTACAACGAAATTTTTTGTATCGACAAATAGGAAGATTCAATGCAAAGATCAATGGAACTCCGTTCTTATCGACGAGCTGCAAACTTCATTCGTTTTAAAAAAAATAAAACTGTTACAACAACTAACTGTGGTTTTATCGGTCCTCACCTGATGATTGATGACATCATCATCGATAAATTAATAATTAAAAATTCTACCCAAATTAAATGGAAACTGTGGAGAAATTGTCGACCGCGGGAATGTTAAATTCCAATATGTCTTCGATAATCTTCGAAAAGGATTTAAGCAACAACTGGATGAATTGTCCAATCAAAGTTATCAAAATTGTAATAATCTGTTATCACTAACTGAATGGTTATCTGACAGTAACCCTACGTTGGCCGTTGGAATGATGTAATAGCAGAAAGAATCTATGGAAATTTATTAATTGCTTCATGTGTTATTCATTCCTCTAAAAAATACAATAGTCGAATTCAATGATAGAATAATTATTAAGTTCGAAATTGAATGAATTGATGTTGAAATGGGAGATCTTATCCTAACAACATCCTTAAGTCGATCACACGCTAATTCAGTCAAGAGTAGAGTTTGTGTTCTTAATAATATTGCTAATACCAATTTTCATTATAATTAAATTTAGTTTGATTTGTTCTATAATATACTTATCATACACCAAGAAATCCAAACCCTATTCTTAAATTCCATTTCTTTCCTTCAATAAGAAATGTCAGGAAAACATTGCTCATTTAATTTTAAAATTGACCCTCTCATAGTCCCGGATTGCTAATTCCTCCAGGCAATTACACATCTCGTTCATTTCCTGGTGAATCTTCAATTCCAGGTAGTCTGGGCTGACCTTCGTCTCCAACTGATTCTTCATCACATTTCCATCCGGTCCATGTTGTTCTGGTGGTCCTGTTAAAGGGTTGCAAGCCTGAAAATAAAATCTGTGCATAATTTGCGAAAGTACCTTAAATCATACAGTGCAATTAAAAAAAAATCTATTAGGAAATCTCCTGGACCATGAAAACAGCGTTGATAACAATAGGAAGGTATCGAAAAAACGCATTGTAATGGCAATCTGAAATTGGCTGTGTGTACAGTGACTGAAATCCCCTTAATTTCATGTCGAACTTTAAAACTTTTGATTTTTTCGTTTTATGAAGTTGGAAAACAAAAGAATGCCAAAAGTGATACTTAGTATCTTTCAGAAGATTAATCTTTAGTAGAAATTTTAGATGGATGGGATTTCTTACTTATTTATGATTTTCAATTTTCCAAGCAAATCGCTGTTGAATGAAAATTAAAAAATTCAATCTGATAAGTTATAATAACTTCGGAAATGCAAGAAACGAATCGCAATCGATTGATAAAGTGCAGAAATTCAAACTGAAGAAATATAATTTAAAATGATATGTGATTTAAATAAAATTTGAATGAAGCAAATTTCAAGGAGAGCCATTCTATTTATATTAAAAGGTTGGACGAGTGATATGAATCTTTCCGGAATTTTGCTAAACAAAGTATTTCAAGAATTTTTCTGGAATGGTTGCGTAGGGTGCAGCAAACGCAACATCAAACGATTATTGACGGTATCTATGAATCTAAATACATTTTTTATGCGATGATTTTTTTCCTTATCATATTTGCGAACGGAAAAAAGATTCGGTCTACTGATAGAAAATTATAGGTTGATAAAGAATTTGAAAAAGAGAATGGAAAAACAAGTTTGCACCTTCGAGAAACGGAATGATTTGGAGATCTGGCTGATGCCAATTATTTATACATCAATTGTTCTTCAACATTTTCTGAAATTCCTCAAATTGTTGGACACTCGCTTACGTTCGCTTTGGCAGCTTCAACTTAAGCTCGAGTTCGTTTTTTGATATGTAGGAACAGTTCTAGTGTAATAAATTGTCGTAGTGGAAAAAATTTTCAGAAGTGGACAAATTTTGAAAATTGGTCGTGGTACGAAGATAGAAAATGTTTCGACTGAACATCAAAAGTTTCAAAAATACATCAGTAACACATAATCAGGCTAAAATGCTTAATGATTTTTCCATAATAGGGCATGTCCTTCATATGTAGCTGCCAATAAAGCACTACAAATGAATTTTTGTTTTGAATTCTTCCACCACTTAATATGATTTCAAGCTTGCGGACTTCAGGACTTATAGATTTCTTTCATAGATACCGTCTACAGTGTTGTATTTTACTATGCTCCAAGCAACATTTCCACAAATAATTCGTAAAATATTTCTTTTGTTTTATGAATTCCGAAAGATTCATATCTGACGTTCAACTTCCAATATAAATAATTACTCTTCGAATTCTGTTGGTCTAAATTCCAATTTAAATCTCAAAATCTTTTCATACATATCTACAATGTCATTTTTCGGATAGAATTTATATATTCTAATCAATTAATTAAAGTCTATTCCTCATATTTCAAAAGTGTTACAACTTTTAAGTAAAATTTCTAAATTCCGATCTAACAGTTATGATTTTTTTAAGAAAGTGTGCACTATAAATAA